ACCAAAAGTTCTGATCACAGTTTTTAAAATTTAATAAAGCAATAAATATTGAATATTTTACTAAGGCGATATATAGTATAACGTCTCGTCTTTAATAATATATAGAGCAACTCTCTCTTAGACTTAGTTCTAACATCCTTTCAGACTAAATCTATAATTTTACAGACAATGCAAATATTATTAATTCTTGTTCAATGGTCAGGTACATTCTGGAACTTTCTATTGGTCACTCTCTCGTCACGTTTTATGACGTCATGTTCTAGAATATTACATTTCGATAGTATATATAAATGAGAGGTCGTTCGCTGTTAGTTCATTTGTACCGTACTCGACTTAAAATCGTAATAGAATTTGATTTCAATCTTAAAAGAAGACATTAAACATGACTGATGAATTCAATCGATATTATATCAAAATTCGAGCTATTTTGGGAATAGATTCAAAAACAATCTTTGACGAACTTACAGAGGCATTGGGACCTGATGCTCCATCACATCCAACAGTCAGAAGATGGGCGAAACGTTTTCGTGAAGGGAGAGACGATGTCACTGATGATCCTCGATCTGGTCGTCCGATTTCGGTACTTACAGATGAAAATGTTGAACGCGTTCGACAAGTTATCGAAGATGATCCACACTCAACTTATGATGATATTATGGGTGAGACTGATCTATCACGTGGTACAATAGAACGAATTATTCATGATCGTCTAAAGATGAGAAAAGTTACATCACGTTGGGTTGCTCATCAACTTACTGACGAACAAAAACAAAAACGACTTAGAATTTGTCGTCAAAATTTAGAGAAATTTAGAAATGGAACATGGCATTTATGTGATGTTATTACTGGTGATGAGACATGGATTTATCACAGGCAGATTGGTCGAAAGTCAAGCAATGCTACTTGGGTTGGCGAAAATGAACTACCAAGAACCATTGTTCGTCGGAATAGATTTGAACCTAGAACACTATTTTGCTTCTTCTTCAAATCCACTGGTTCTCTTCTCATACACAAAGTAGATAAGGGCAAGACAATCGATTATGACTACTATATTGATAATTGTCTTATTCCTGTTATCAATGAAATAAGAAAAAAGGAAAAGTCATCACGTACTACATATAAAATGCTTCATGATAATGGTCCTCCTCATACTCATCCAGATGTTATTGATTATTTAATGGAGGAAGAAATCGAAATCATTCCACATCCACCATATTCACCAGATCTTGCACCGTGTGACTTTTGGCTAAATGATTATATCAAGAACAAGTTGACGGATCAAACAAACGAAGAATCATTAGGTCAAGAGGTTTCCACCATAGTGAAGAATATTCCAATAAACGAGTTTAAAAAGACTTTCGATAAACTGTTAGAAAGAATGAAACTTTGTATCGAAAATAATGGTGATTATTTTGAGCATTTAATAAAATAAAATAACGAATGTCTCTTCGTTTCTGTATTGTGGTTTTATGTTGGCATGATCTTTTCTTGGCTATAAATACTATAGATTTAGTCTGAAAGGATGTTAGAACTAAGTCTAAGAGAGAGTTGCTCTATATATTATTAAAGACGAGACGTTATACTATATATTGCCTTAGTAAAATATTCAACATTTATTGCTTTATTAAATTTTAAAAACTGTGATCAGAACTTTTGGT